TTCCTTAACAGCAACCCAGTTGCTCGGAAGCTTAAGGTCCATTGGCATCATGAACACTGGCATCCAGGATCCGGAGGTCGGGAGTTCAGGGGCCTCAAAAGCGGGGGTTGAGGTTTGGTGAAGCAAGCATGGCTCGAAGCAGGTCAATCCCTCACGTGAGAGACTGTGTTGGCATCATTGCACTGTGCTCTCACTCGCACAATGTGAGCAAGTTCTCATCCGCTTTGTCGAATGCGGCATTCACGAGCTAGCTAGTCAATCCCTGATACGCGAACAGGCCTTTTCCCAGCAGCGCAGAACGTAATCTCCAAGAGATTTACTCATGCCCACCTCGCTGGGGATCTTTGATTTGGATTACACGTTTCCTAGTCAAAACGTGGCAGCTTCTCTGGTTCAGTATTGCGTTGCTGCGCACTGTGTTTGGATGCTCTGATTTGAAGGGCTTCCGAAGGTTCCAAGTAAGCACGACCTCAGATGTCCTGTTTGCTTCGGATGCCCTTAGCAGTGCGACACGGATCTACGAAGAGTAGCCATGCGCCCAAGACCAGCGCCCGCTTTTGTGTATGCATCTCCCACTCCCTGTCTGCCTGCTAGCGTAGCACCACAGCGACGACCATTATCACCACACATTCCGCCACGATAGTCACGGAGCAAAGACGATGACATCAATAACAATGGCAAATACGACGAGCTAGTCTTCATATGACCTTTGGTGATGATTGCAACCACTATTGGCATCGTTATGTAGGGCGGTGTCTCCTTTCATTGTGCTGCAGAAAAATTCTGTGAAATGAAGGATGTTCCGGTGTTGAGGACTGCAGCCCTGAGTCCTAGTTGAGGGATTATATAGGGTGTGTATATATATTTATTTATTTATTTTATTTTTTTAACTGAGGTTATTGGGATAGTGGAAAAGAAAATGGAAGCCATAATGGGTTACATAGGACCAACAAAATCTGCCCGCAGGTCCGCAAGAAAAAGCTCAACGCCGAGTTGGCCAATGGCAGATTAGCCATGTTTGCCATCATCGGCAACTGGGCCTGGACAGTGAGCGGTGGATTTGTAGCCATATTATACATTACTATTATGATAAACATGATTTTCCTATTAGTGATTATTCTTGCCATTGTTAGCTAGGGTGCATAAGAAATGTGTACAGGGAGTCTTCCGAGGATTTGTTCTGAGCCCGATGATGGTCCCTGAAACGCTGCTGCCTAGCACGTGACCTACGTCTCGTAGCTCAAAACGCCCGCCCCCATTTCCTGCTGGGGTTAGTAGGGAAAACGGCAATATACTATGTGGGACTATAACCTTCATTCCCTGCTAACCACCAGCAAGACTTAAGGAACCCGCATTGGCTACGTTTTTCTGCAGAGCTCATGGTATGCCTGGCCGTTAGAAAAGCCCTACGTATTGCAATCCTAGTGACAGGCATTGTGCCGAAGTCAGTTGGCTGCTCATCCAAAGGTCCTCACCCCTCAATTGCATTTGTAGGGTTTTAGAGGGTATAAAGTCGGTGTCCAGCGGCCCAAGATTAATATAGGGACCCAGAGTCCGAGCTTTTGAAGAAGTTCAAACCTAAAAAGCTGCATAACCCCACATACCCCCTTACATACCCTACGTAACAATGCACTTCCTTCTATACCCCTGTACAATCTTCTATACCTCAGTAATCCCTTATTTGCTCAGGTATGTTCTTCCAGGACGGCCTCACTGGCTCGGCTTGGGGAGCAACAAGGCCGCAAAAAAATTTTTAGGGTTTAGGGTTTAGGGCTACATGTAGGGACTCAGGAGTAGGTTTGAAACGAATTTTCGATGCTTCTGAATCCGAGAGAATCCCTATAGGGCCATTAACAGATCTGGAAAATAGAAGTGATAACGAGAACCCCCCAAACCGTGGGATCTAGCAAACAGCAGAACCAGGATTTCCCATCTAGGGAGTACCATCCTTGACTCAAGACTGTCATTAGGTTGAAGCCTTGCGCATGTCATCCAGAGCCCTTGAGGGCACCAAAGCTCAAAACTCTTGCAGGTTTTAGGGTTGTAGGGACCCCTACATAATCCCTATATCACCCTATAATATAGTAGGTTCCATTTTCTTTTCTATTATCCCAATATTGCCCCAATATAATCAAGGGCAAAAGCTTAACAACTTCAAACGCTGAGCCAGAAATCTTGGAGCCTTCGCACCCGAAAGCTCCAAGCCGTAAGTCCTCAACCTTGAGCTTGGGAGCGTGGGAAACTTACAGCAGGCAGTTCACCCCAGCCCTACAGCTAGAAAGCTTAGACCTTCCAAACTAAACCCTTACTTGGAGGGTCAGGAGGTCTTAGTAAGTGGCCAAATAAGGGGGATAGAAAAAAGTTGATACATGGGTTATAACGGTTTATTACCCTACTTACTAAGTCCCCCTGACCCTCCAAGTACCCCAAACCCTCAACCCTTGGAGGGCTGCATTACATCCTAAACGCCTTCAAAGGGCTTCAACGCGAAGTCCCTCAACCCTAGCTTCAATTGCTCTGGGGTTCAGGGGGTTGAGGTTTTCAGGGTTTAAGGATTTAGGCTTTAGGGTTTAGGGTTTAGGGGTTTAGGGTTCAGGGTTAATTCTAGAATAACATTAGCTGTTGCTGTTCTTGCGAATGGCTCTTGCAAGCGCATCACGCCAAGTGGTTTGGTCCCTAGTAGTATATGTCTGCGAATATATCTGAAGTAGGGTGCCCAAAAACAGACCACAATTTCGACAGCCCTGAAACCTAAACCCTGAAACCTTAATATGGCGCCCAAAATTTGAGTGCCCCAACAAAACCCTAAGCCTTAACCATGAAATCAAGTGCTAAGGACTGGTCTCTCTACACCGCCTCCCCGCTCCGTGCATTCGAGGGTGAGTTGGGTGTCCAGGCCACGCCGTTTAGGGTTGAGGGCCTTTGTTATTTGGGTTGGCATTTGGGCTATTTGAATACTTTCTTGTCGGTTTCACCTATTATATATTGGCATTTCCAATTGGCTCTGAAGGCCAGCCAAGTTATTATCATGACTGTTGTTTTTACTACTATTGATACTAATCTTAATCATTCTGACTGTTATTGTTGTTACTATTGTGACTGTTGTTACTATTGTTACGATGCGGCGGTGGCGCGGGCCCGGGCGTACAAACATCCGCCGAACTAAGCAACCAAGCGAAGCCGAGCGAAGCTGCATGGCCCGTGATGTTGTGCCCTTCATTCCAGACTTTCAAGGCGACTCAGGCGGCCAGGAAAGCTGATGCAACCAGATCTGCACCACCATGCCAAGAACCGGGGCATCCGAGTAAAAAATCATATGCGGATTCCTGCAGGCCAGCGGGCTTCAAGTTATTTGAGTCATGGTTAAGTCCAGCAAGAGATTTCGGGTTGTGGCAAGAGCATGATGTCTTCCCATGCCATCTCCTCATGGGTCAAAATGATATCTGTGGATGTTCCGTGCCTGTCACGGCGGCAGCAGGTTGCCCAAGAAATTGCCACACACCCCAAAAATCAAAACCAGACACTTCATATGTGTCGAGCCCGCTACCTGCCGCTTTGCTTTGGCGAGTACACTCGCTTGTTGTACTTACGCTGCCAGCGTCGCCCCTTGCTGGCGCTGCACGTCGCCCGGCATCGCTCGGCGCTTGGCGTTGCTTGGCGCTGCATGGCGTCGCTCGGCGCCTGAAGTCACCGGCGTCGCCTGGCGTCGCCTGGTGCTTGGCGTGATTATGATTTTTCAGTTTTTGCTCATTATTATTGCTATTGTCATTCTCGGGTCATTCTTACTACTCTCATGCGTGCTAGAATAACCGCTATCCTTATTGTTATTGCTACTGTACTCATTATTCTTGAAAAGAGTTTTACAATTTTCGTTATATTGAAACCAACAAAGCAAATATGATTGTGATTAAACAGAAACAGGCACGTATGAATGCAATTCTTAATAGTCCTCCAATCAGGAATCAGCTGTGGAAGGCTGACTTCTAGGTTGAAAAGATGGGCCCCTTTGATGGGCCTCAAGGTGGGTGCTTGAGGTTCTTTAGCGCAGTTTCTAGGAGGGAAAATGGTTACGAAAGTGAGTCTACCTCCCTTGCTTCCTTCTTGAGGCCGTATAGCACTTATAATGTAATCCCAGCATGTATATAACTTTCCATGGTGCTCCTCCATGCGGCCCTCCATTCATATACTTACTTGTTGCCTAACTACTGAAGCATCTGTTGTTGAGTCTGTTCCACATCAGCTCCTTCAGAAAGAGCCTTCGGGCAAGATCCGCAGCGTACACTTGTAGTCCTTGGGCTTCAGAGTCATCCAGGGTGCAGGGTTGCTAAGTTGTTATTTGGTCTCGGCAACATGTTGCTGCCAAATCTAACCAGGGCTAACAAGTCCTGATGAACCATAGTGACCCCTAATCAGCTCCAACGGCGCACTGTAAAGCCTTCATCTGTGGCTGCCCCCCAGAATGGGTGGAGCCATAGCAAGTCCATGGTCCTAAGGCGGATACCAAGAATCCTGCATGACCTTAGGAACCTTAGACTTTAGGAATTATAGTACTATAGTATACTAAGTTCATGCAGGATTTCTAGTATCAACAGTAGCCATGCTGTAAGGGCGCCCGAGAAAGAAGCTGGGCAACGGTAGCCCTCATCCAACTAGCATGGAACCACCAAGAAGAGCCCTACAAAGGTTAACTGCACTGAACAAAGGGGCAATCGAAGGTTCGATGCTGGCATGGGAAGTGCAGGACCCTGCCAGTCATGTACTCTTAGGTATACCTTGAACCCTCAAGTAGTATATGGAAGCTGCCCAAATATGCACAATTCGGGATCCCCATAAGCCCTTTGCAACCACCATAAACCCTTAAATTCCTTCCCAGGGAAGCCCCTTTTTGAAAAGCTAAACTCTAAACCCGAGACCCCTAAACCTGAAACCAACCTGACAAGGCACCTGTGGGCTTCTGGGACCCCCTGGGCCTTTCGGCTGATGGCGACACGGCGGTCTTCAAGCGCCGACGTGAGGTTGAGCTCAAGCATCCCGGCAGGAAGTGTGCGGTTAAGGATTTTAAGATTTAGGCTTTACTGTTTAGGGTTGCTGTTTCGGATTCACGCGCGTTGAGGGCTCAGGGTTCAGGATCTAGTGTTATTATGATCCTGTAGAAGAAGAATATTGCAAGGTGGTCTGGGAGTCTTGCAGGATGTATGAAGTGTGCATGGTAGTAGTATGGAGAGATGCAACGGATGAGGCATTAGGGTTTGCAGCTTTGAAGACAAATTTAATCGTGCGCTTCGTTTAGCATTAGCGATGACCTTCAATAGGCGGGTTCGGCAACCCCAGCCCCCACTGTTAGGAACCTATAATTATCACATGGCTATATATGCGTCCTAATTTGGGGGTTGGGTTTACCAACATCCCCTTATTGATATTAGGATGTAGGATGACTGACTGACTGACTGACTGACTGACTGACTGACTGACTGACTGACTGACTGACTGATCATCTTCTTCCTACCATTAATTACCCCTAGTCCTACTCCTACTCCTACCATTATTCCTGCTACTACTGCTACTTTTGTTGCTACTACTCTTAGGACTAGTACGAGTATTTGTATTAGTACTACTACTGCAAGTACCACGAACAACAACATTACCACCACCACTACCACTACTGCAACAGCATTGGTACAAGTCTTGGACTTAACAGGAATCGCCTGCTGACTTGTTTCTTCTAGGTTTAGGAGGTGGCTTTGATTGCAACAAGCATGCCCCATGGAATTTCTCAAATCAAGCCTCGTGGAAAGCCTTCAGCGTGCAGGTCTTGGGGCCAACCGGATTGTGAAGTTTCATAGATCGCCCTAACAAGTATTTGCCTATGTATTACAAGCATACACACACACACATATATATATATACATATATGTGTCTTGCAGCGGCACTCACTGGGCAAGGCTGAAGGTTGAAGTACAGCTGAACTCTGATCCACAAACTCGTTGGAGAATACCTCCAAGAATCACTCCCCCCAAACAAGCCCCCAAAGATTCAACCGTACTGGTTGACCTTAAGTAATCACTCATGAGGGGGTAGCCCCCGGCAGCTTGCAAGGCACGGCAGGATCTCGATGTACGCCACGATTGGTTGCTCCAGCTGCAATCTTGAGTCAATAAGGGGCTTTGGGCAGCATTAGTTTCAGTGTCTCAACTTGAGGTAAGGGAAGATAAGGGGCAGCTCTACCCCACACTCGAGTCGGGTCCTAGAAAAAAATGTTCCTAGAAACGTTGACTGTCGCACCTGTTGTCGAAGTTATCCTTTCCTTAAGGTCGATGTCACCATTTGGGGTGAGGAAAGCCTTAAGAAACGAGACTCGTCCAATGAAGGACCTCATTTGTTCAAGCCGCATCCCCAGTGAAGTGTAGAATGATGTGAAGGAAAAATTGTGACCCAATACCCTGCACCCCGTAGTTGAGGATTCCTGTCCTCATCATAGGGTTTAGGGTTTAGGGTTTAGGGTTTAGGGTTTAGGGTTGAGCTGTCCATGAGCAAGTGTGTGAGCTTCATGCAGCAGATGCTACACTCCTTAAAGCCCAGGGAGTAGTTCAAAAGACGTTCCTTATCGACTGCTGTCAAGAAGAAAGCGTTCAACCGACTTCCAGATTGCCAGGGATTCGCAAAAAGATGGCTCTGCTTGGTCTTGATCCCCCAAGTACCCCCCCCCCCATGCAGCCCAAACACCTACAAATAGAGTTTAGGGATTTAGGGTTTAGGGATTTAGGGTTTACGGTTCAGTCTTCTTGAGCTGGCCCATTAACCACCTCCCTCTTTGTCCAACCCCCCTAGCCCCCCAATTGCTAAGCCCTATAAATCCCTAAACATGGCTGTGTATTACCTGTACAGGGAGACTGAACTTTATATCTTTCACACAGCTGCATCATCGCATGTAGGGGATTGTCCAAATGATGGTCCCTTTTTGGATACCATATATAATATTAGGGGCTGTGCTGTATTGGAGGCCCAAAAAGGGAACAACAAATTCTGGCAACCTACCGTGTAATCATTTAATCCCAATACAACTCCTATACGCCTACACAATCCTAAGCACCAGCTGTGTCCTCAAACAAATTCATGTATTTGATAACTAGTTAGGTATCATTTTCCACTTGTTTGGATCTCTTGTGCTCATCTCTGTCAAGGATCCCCGAACCCTGGACGATGGGCCCTACGCTCTTGAGACGCGCATTCCCCAAACCTAATCAATGAACCCAAATCCTTAGGCCTTATAATCCGGAAGCTCTTATCTAATGTCTTACCATTATACGTTAAAGTAGCTCACTCTGGGCTAGCTAGGCGTTCCAAGTAGGGCTCAGGGGTCAGTTGGCCGGGGTTGAAGGAGCAGCAGATTTGGGATCAGGGTGTACGCAGCCGGTTCGGTTTTGGGGCTTTTGAGAGTTTATGGTTAGGGTTCAGCCAGTTTAGAACGCAGTGTCTTCCAAGCGGTAAAGCTAAACCGTAAACCCTAAACTCACTTCTGAAAAATGTTAATCCCTAAACCCTGGCTATTTCTGCAATACTACCCCTAAACCCTGGTGACCCTCAAGCCCTTACCTTTCGACTCTATAACCCTTATACCCTCATCCTCAGACCCCTTGACCCATTGTTTTTCCCCGAGCACTACCGAATCCCTCAACGTTTGAAACCCCAAACCCCCAAATGGGGGTTTCCCAAAGTGAGGGGTCCCTTTTTGGGTGTCCCTATAGTAAGGACTATAGCATGTTGGGGTCTACGTTGGGGTCCCTCTATTTTGGAAAACTACCAAATCCCCAAACCATAAATTACAAACCACTAGAACTCCAAGCCTGAAACCCCCAAACCCTAAACCAC